CGCGGACACGCCGGGCAGCGGGCCTGCGGGGCCCCGGGCGGGGTGCGGGAGGCCCGGGACCGGGCGGAGGTGCGGAAGGCGGAACCGGCACGGGCCGGCGGCGGACTGGAGACGAGGTCAGCCCGGACCTGCTCCACCTGCTGCCGCACTGACACTTCCCGGAGCCTCCGGGGGTGTCCGCACGGTGCTGACCTCCGCGGGGCACGGCTGTTACGGTCTGGGTGCAGAGACAGGGTGACCCTCCTTCCCTGCCTGTAACCGAGTGCTGAGCACTCCGGTGGGGAGGCTGGAGGAATGTCTTCCCATGAACTAAGTTGCTTGAGAGGTGCTGTGTGTTGTGAGTGTGCCCAGATTGATCTTGTCCGACAAGTCAGGCTGTGTCCCAAACAGGGAGGGATACGGCTTCTAGAGTAACCAGCCTTCTGGGAAGCATGTCATGGTGTTTTAAAATGTCTTGTTAAAATCAGCAGCTTATTGGAGGTTTTCTATCATGGTCAGCGTATGTCCTGAGAAGTGCTTATTTTTAACTTTTGAGACGAGAGAGTGAGGAAATGAACGTACCCACCTAGCATCTCAGAATGGGTGACAAGGTGAGAAAAGATTAACTGGCAAATGTTCAGCTCATGGGGAAATAAATTATCCGTATGGAACAGTAAACATTCCCCAGGATCAGCTGGGTGTTTTTGCTTGGTGGTGAGAACGAGAAGAGGGATGATGGTTTCTCAGTGTGGCATGTTGCTTCTTTGACTCTGATGGGTGTACTACTGCGTCTGAGGTCTGCTCTTAGAGGGTTTTGAAAGTAGTTGACTTTTCTCTTTTAGAACTGGGAAATTATGAGGTGGTTAGTAGTTTTACTGCAGCTTCCAACTTTGTCACTGACTTGCTGGACGACTTTGGATAATTTTGTAAACTTTTCTTTGCACTTGTTTAAAAAGGGACTGTTGCAGTGCACATGTTATGATTCATGATGTAATAACTATAATGGCCATTAGAGTCCTGACACATTTTAAAGTAAGCTTAAGAGCAACTGTCAGAAAAAGAAGGTGCCATCTTGACATGCTCTGAAAAGATCATACTTTTTATGAAAATGAGCTCAATGTTATGTTATTAAAATTTATTTAGTGGCTAAAGAGTTGGCTCAGCCTTTAAGAGTGCATACTGCTCTTGTAGAGGACCTGAGGTGGTTCCCAAACCCGCATTGGGCTGCTCACTACTTCCGCCAGCTCCAGCTCCAGGGTGTCTATGGCCCTCTTGTGGCCTGCACACACTCATGTGCACATACCCTGCACCCCCACATACACATTGTTAGAAGTAATAAATCTTATGGAAGATATGTTTTTGTTTTTATTTATGTATTTGTGTGATTGTATGTCATGTGTATGCAGTGCTTGTGAAGGTCAGAGGAGAGTGTGAGATCTCCTGGAGCTGGAGATATGGGAGATTGTGAGCCGCCTGCTTGTGGGTGCTGGGAACTGAACTCAGGTCCTCTGGAACACAGCAGCAAGTGCTTTTAATCACTGAGCCATCTTTCCAGCTCCATAAAATACATCTCAAAAAATACATATATTTAGTGTCCAGTGTGGTTGTGTCCTCCTATAATCCTGGCACTGGAAAGGCAAGAAGAGGATAGTCATTTTTGAGACTAGTCTGGACTACAGTTAGCAAGTTTGAGGCAAGCCTGGCCTAAATAGTGAGACCCTGTCTCAGAAACCAAAACCAGCTGGCTGTAGTGGCACACACCTTTAATTCCAGCACTAGGGAGACAGAGGCAGATCTCTGAGTTGGAGGCCTACCTGGTCTGTATATTGAGTTCCAGTCCAGCCAGGGCTATAATGGAGACCCTGTCTCAAAAAAATAGGAAAGAAGCCGGGTATGGTGGTGCATGCCTTTAATCCCAGCACTCGGGAGGCAGAGGCAGGCGGATCTCTGTGATTTCAAGACCAGCCTGGTCTACATAGTGAGTACCAGCTCAGCTGGGACTACAGGGAGACCCTGTCTCAAAAAGATCAAAAAAAAAAAAAAAAGGAAAAAAAAAAACCAAAAAAAAAAAAAAAAAAAAAAAAAAAAAAAGGAAAGAAAGAAACCAAAAAACAAAAGAAAGCAAACAAAAAAAATTGATAATAATGTAAAAATACAATGTGCTTAAAAGTTAAATTTACGAGTCTTAGCAAGTACTAGGTCAGACATTGCTAAACCCCCTGCCCCACTTTTTTCCCCCTATAGCGCTGTGGGGATGGAGCCTCAGGGCCTTTGGCATGTTAGGCAAGTGCACCATCGAGTGCTCCAGTCTAGGTTGGAGTAGGTAATTTGGAGCATCCTCCTGGCAAACTTTGTTTAGGTCTGATTTACATAAGAGCATTTGCTTAGAAGTACCTTGTGATTTTTAAAAAAATATATATTTTATCTATTATTTTTATTTTATGTGTATGTGTGTATTACCTGCATGTAGGTAAGTGCACCTGT